AATCTTATGGAAATAGTCATTATTAATTATTATCGATACAGAGGCCGAATTTATATTTTTTGGGATTTTGTCTGTCTGTCGGTCGGAAAGTGTCACGAGAAAACCATTCTGTCTGTGGCCGCTTCACGGGTAAACCACTGGACGGATTTTGGTCACTAGACGTCACCATGTGTTTTTAAAATAAGTAATTTTAATTACAAAAAAATCTATATACAGATATGATTTTATTGGGATTATTTATTACTAGAAGTACCATGGGTCCCGCCCGTGTTCAAATAATGAAAAAAAACTATTTGACTTTATAAATTATAATTAATATAACAGTAATATTTTGTTGGCCGAAACAATTTTCTAATAAAAATATTTGTAAATTTTTGCTATTACTTAGTAAATAAAGTAATGCTTATATTTGTAAATCTTTAAATATAAATATCGGGCAAGTGCGCGTTCAACTCGCACATCCACGGTTCCATTAAGCAAAATACTGTTTTGTTTTTACTTCTATACTGTAAAGTTAATATTAAAATAAAATATAAATATGTACATAATACTTTATTAGATTTACGCGAATATTTGACATTAAACTATTTTTTCTGACTTCTTTGCTGACATTTCGAATGCTTTAAAGCAATCATGGTCACAGGAGAGACTGTCTCTCCGGAAATGAGATATTTTCCCGCGGTAAAAAGTATTCTATATGTTGACCCAGATAACCAGCTATCACCATACCAAATTTCATTAAAATCCCTCCAGTGGATTTTCTGTAATGCGGTAACAGACAGACAGACAAAAATTCTAAAAACTATAGATTCGGCCTCTGTATCGATAATAATGTTTATTTCAATAAGATTTTCCAAAAAATATCTAATGTACAGATTTGGCTTAGTTACAATTTTATCATATGTACCTATAGATAGATAGTGTGATATTAAACGTGATATCATATTATATAAGGTAAGGCCGGCCCTAAGGTTGGAAGCTTAACGCCGTCGTCACTGATATACATACTATTTGATACTAAACTGGTACGAGTTGGTTCACAGAAATTTGTACTGTTAATATCATAATCAAGTCAAAGTGTAAAGCGTACAAATTAAAGTTGTAATTATAAGAAATATTGCAACATAACGACGATACCTACTGCATGAGATTTTGATTACGTTTAATTATGTCCTATTAATAATAAATAAACCCTATGTAACCACTGATATCGCGCTCGCTTGTGAAACCGAGTACGGCAGGTTCAAATCCTGAACATGAATCATTTCCAAAATGATTTCCTACCACTTGTGTTACGGTGAAGAGAAAACATTGTGAGGGAACCTGTCTGTCTCAGATAACCTAATAAGTTTTGAAAGACATGTGTAGTCCCGCAGTTGGCCATTGGCTTGAGGGATTATGGCTTGATCCCCTCGTATTAAAGTAAAGGGACGCCCGTGCCCATCAGTAGGGCGTTAAATAGGGCTGAGTACGAACCCTATATATATATTTGAAACTGTGTCAACAATAAAAATGTTTGGATATTTCTTGGTAAATCCTGCGATAACTATTGCACTAATTTCATACTTTCCATTAATGAATTCCCCCCGAAATAAAAAAAAAACATTTTTATATTATTTTGGTTCTAAACTTATCAATATATAACGCAGTCCAATAAGCAATGAAAAAACAAGAAAACAATTTTTTACCTGGCTAATAATAATTCACAGGTAATTTCTAAAGAGAAACTTTAAAAATATGTCTTCACCGCAGTTCCCACATTACAAATTGCAACTCTTACTGACTTTCAAGTGCTTTGTTTTTATTACATAATTATTGTCTGTGAGATCTCGACAAGATAGGTATACCTTTTGAAATTTTAATTAACACACGAGTCGTCTTATTAATTAATTATTATACTTACTAAGAACTATCAATATTACAAAATTTTCTATAACATTTTGATGTTATGTAGACTATCTTTAAAAGGCTAAGTTTTTTTCTTTTGGTTTCTATACAATTAATTTCAAAATAACATAAAACGGTAGACAACTTCAAGAAATTCGATACATTCAAATTCCAAGCATAATTTATAGGATCACCAGCATTGACGTCAGTGTCTACTGTCTACAGTGTCGTCCTCTTATCCAATACTATATCCACATCCTTATCTTATTTTAATTACAATACGAGCGTAAATTTTAAACTAAAAGTATATAACATATGAAGCAAGAAATAAAAACAAATATTAACTTTTAAATGTTAATTATGATTAGACTGATGTTTCTAGTAATAAATCGTGCTGTTATAATTATAAACAAACAGTTATTTTTTTACCTAAAACAAGTAAAAAAATGTGAATTCATTGTAAGGCCAGAAAAGTAATCGCCGTCATTGTTAATTCAGAAGAACGTTTAAAATGGTATCGGCCTTTGTTCAAAACAAACATTGTACTTATACGAGTACAGTAGGTAAATAGTACGTTAAATGTTAAATTTGTTATAAACTATCAATTAACGATCCACGTGCAGCTAACTTATATTTTATAATCATTTACTACTATTTCTATGGGACTTGTGCAACGATAAAAAGTTGATGACGTCACTCTCCAAACCATAGATTATTAAAAATATAGTTTTCTTAGATTTATGCGAATATTTGAAATTTTAAATAAAACTATCTTTTCGGATTATTTCGCGGATTTATTTTGATTTTTGGTTTAAAATTAAATTATTGTAAAATATGACGATAGTATGTATTTGAAATACATATTCCAATATTAAATTTTAACTTATACCTACTTTCGTTTCCTCTCTAATGCTTATCTTAATTATCCATTCGTCACTTTCTCACAACACCCATTAAAATCTGGCGTCACCATCCCTGACCTACCCACATCCTCAAAGTGGTAACCGTTCAAAAGATAAGATAAACCCTTAACAAATTGGGCTTTAATCCATGAATTTTGATCTCTCCTGGTTGAAATCTGACCGATAGAGTTTAGAGTGAACCAGAATAGCAATCCATACTAAAATAATCCTTATCTCTGTGTAATAATAATTATTATCGCAGAACAAACGTATCTGGCAAGTCTCACACAGAGCTAACAACATATCTCTATATTAGAAATACCGCTATAGTATACAGGACGCTCCCTGGACGGGGAGAACGAACGGGTTATAGAAGCAACCAGAAGTTAAATTATCTAGATTAATATAGCTTAAATATATGTTTTATTATACTTAAATAAATAAAAACAAGTTTTATCGCTTTTAGTTGTAAATTGTAGTGTAATGAAGAATAAATATTATAAGAAATTAGCGGCGAATACTTTGCAGTTTAGGTTATGTTGACAAAGGATATGTGCACGACCGTGAGTAGACATGTTTAATAACTTTGTATGTAGACTAATTTTGTTTTAAAGCATAACGTTTAAGACTAAACTTAACTAATTTTTTTAAATACTAAACTACTTAACACGTGTAAACCGGCCATTAGTTGTAATGACTCATTTTAAACCCCCTTCACAATGTTAATTTTCAAGAACAATATGTTTAGAGTTCATTAAAAGTCAAATATTCAAGTCTTTTTTGATTAAATACACGAAATAAGTAAATAGGGCATTAAAAATACAAAAGTTATTCATGAATGTTCAATGTTTACTCCTTCCTTCTTGATAAGTTTTAGTATGAATTAATGTTTATGAATACCACTGTTTTAAGTCATTTTAAATTCTCATTTTGTTTAACTGTAATTGGGTTTCTTGTCTAGCCTTTGTGATTATTTTAGAATCAACTAAAACTGCCATTTAATGTATTGTAAAGTTAAAAGAAATAATACGTGATTATTCTTCGGATTAATATCAAAAGCTTTCATAAGTTCAACTACTAATAATATTATCATGTCATCATATCATCATACGTCTGTCATGTCGTTTGTTAATTTGCCTCATAACATGCATGCACTTGATTCAATTTCATAGTAATTTATTTGAACTTTACTTCACTATAAAATTTATATTAAATTATAGTTAAATTGTTAGGTACTAATTCGATATATTAGAATATTAGATAACTTTTGTGTGATATTTTTAATAACATTTTTACAAAAATAATTCATAAATTTGTTGCTACAGAAGTTTTTATATAGATAAAGTTTGTATCTCATGCATCGTGTCACCACAACACGTTTAAATTAAGTTCGTTTCTCGATGTCTATATAGCTTTAGTTGTATTACATCCATACTAATATTATAAATGTGAAAGTGTGTTTGTTTATTTATTTGTTTGTCCTTCTTTCATGTCGAAACAGAGTGACGGATGGGTGTGATTTTTTGTGTGGGGATAGTTGGAGGGCTGGAGAGTGATATAAACAACTTTTTACCGCGCGAGATTATCTTATACCCACGGGAAAACACTTTATAATGCAATCCACAATAACTCATCATACCTATGTATATGTATAATATATAGTCTTTCTACACTAACCGTTAAAACGTACCTAGAGACGAACCAGAGCGAAGCGAGGGTGAATATCTAGTTGACTATATATTCAATTGGAGGTGAAGGCTGAAGCCGTGTTTATATTTAAAAAAAAACAAAGCGATATAAACATGCTTGTAATAAAAATCATTGGTTTATTTGTAAATTCTAAAAGCTCTTGTAAAACTTCTACAAGACTGCCATTCCCTAATGACGTATTTTCCCTATTGGCTGTGTAGTGGGTGTGTATTTGTGTAATATGTATACTATATTCAATTATAGTACTTAGTATTTATAGTAAAAGCGGGTCAGGTCGGTGGCCTGGCGGACGCGCAGGGAAAGTCATTCGAGCGTGGGTAACTATTTGTAGTTTCTTTTTTGCAAACGCGGCACATCGGGACGCATGCGCGGCATACCTACTGTACGTCAGTGTTGCGTGGTCTACGTTCACTTCGGACGCGCAAATCGCGCTGTGATCAGTGTACAGTATAACTATATTAGAAATCCTTATGTATAGTGTTTGAGTGCATCGTGTTACCAATGAGTGGTACGGACGTTAGCTCCCGAGGCCCTGGGACGGTCCCCATGCCGACCGACCTGCCCGTCCGGCTCTACATGCGCGCGTTGCGCCAGTACCAGAAGTTGATCGACTTGAAACGATTCACCCAGGAAAAAGTAAGCGGAAATGTTGCCTATTATAAGTTGCATCGCTTAAACATGTCATGACACGACGTGTCTGATTTAAAGGAATCTCTCTTCTATAGTTCAGTTACCCCTTATTCATAAGTAATTTAAATTGTCTCTATTCAAATTAGGCTCGCTTGCACTATATTAAAGCACTTTTTCTAAATTGTTAGATTTTTCGTTATTTATAAATATATTTTATCATATTATTTTCATGTAATAAAAGGCCGTTATCTTATGACAATACATAGCACTCATATTTTAAATTAGATGATCAGATCAGAAGAAAGTTTAATTTAATATAGATACGTACCTACGCATAAAAAATATTTTTAATTATAAATATAAAGAAACAAAAAAATACCTCAATATATTTTTCCCACATCATAAATAGAGCTTTCAGGCTGCCCCTCATCCTTAAAGTTAAGATTTAATTATAATTTATGAAAAATAATATAGTAAGTATAACGATAGACGCAGGTAAGGCATCAATCAAAAATCCATTTAAACGAAGAGAATATATATACTATATATACTACTCTTTATTTTATTCTTCAAAACATTGAATACCATCAAGGAGGATTACCACATAGCTTTTCCTTACTACAAATTCAACATAGTTTAAGACTTATCCTCATATAAACAAAAACTATATTTGAGTACAGACATGGTTAATAACATTCGTACGCCAAGGCTACAAACGTCAGCCGACGCCCGCGCCTCTGGAACTCCGTAAGCTCACGATAAGATGACCTTATAACGAAAAGATTAGTGGTGAATAAAATGAATATTTTAGGCATTTATATTTCGTATGCAATTAATTTTAGACACGTTTAAACTACCGCCTCTGACATTTTCGCACTGTTAAACAACTAATTTTAAATTTATTGTAGATCATAACTATCTGTACTAATATTATAAATGTGAAAGTTTGTGAGTATTGATGTTTGTTACTCTTTCACGCCAGAATGGCTGAACGGATCTGGATGAAAGGCAAAGAGATAGATTATAGTCTGGAATAACACATAGGCTACTTTTTATTCCGAAAACTTTGCGATTTCCGTGGGATAGATTTGTTTTTGTTTTCCGCTAGTAAAAAATATAGAATCGTCTATTGAATTTGCTTTATATTATTTTTCCATTGCTGATAATAATAAAGCGTATCTTGTTTCCTCATGTTTGTACGTATCATAGACAAAACTCTTATGTCATTACTAGATAACCTATAAAACAAGGCTTTATATATTTATATCTTTGGTCAATGGTTTATCTAGCATATTTATATACATACACTCACACCTCGGTGGTGTAGCGGCTAGCATGTACGGCTGCACACCCGGAGGTCCTGGGTTCGAGTCCCGGGTCGGGCCAAGTTTGTTATTGAGTCTTCCTTTATAGTAAGTCTCAGTAAGAGCCCGGAGTTGGGAAGTTGGCGGTGTTTCACCCCCGTGCCTCGGAGAGCACGTAAAGCCGTCGGTCCTGCGCCTTAACTCTCACCGGTCGTGTCGAGTGGTCGTCCCACCGGAGTATGAGAGTGATAGGAATAGAGAGTGCACTTGTGTCTGCGCGTACACTTGAGCACTATAATATCTCCTGCGCAGTTGGCTAATCTCATTGAGATTGGCCGCCGTGGCCGGAATCGGCTAGGAGAACATCATCATCATCACATCATCATACATACATACATCATAGTATGGGTATTTTTACTTCCTCTTCGTTAAAAATATAGTACAATAGAATACCCTTATTTGGTTCCGAGTCGACTCTCACCTGCATAAATAGGTACTAAAATCTAGCCTTTTTTTTTATGTCAGGAAATGCATTTACGCATCCCCCAGGTGGTGATGTGGGGCTCACCGGCTAGAAGAGCCGGTACTACCCACTAAAACCCGACATTCCCCTCCCCTCCGCCTCATGTGAAAATCATAGTATTATATTAAAAAAACCTAAAATAACAAGTATAAAATTAATATGCAAGAACTTTTAGTTCACATGATTAAAAAATTTTGCATTCCGAATTTATTTCCATCCTTATCTTAATTTTTTTTAATTCAAAAATTTCAGAAATGGGAAAAAGTATGATAAGTAATAGTAAATAGTGTAACAATGTGTCTACCCGACGCGACGGCATAAATAAAAACCAACATGTTTCTGAAAGTACAAAATGTCATATTTTATTTTAAGACAATTATAAATATTAATAATACGAATAGTCCACAATTTTATCATATTTTCTTAAATCATTTTTTTTTCTTTTAAATATTTTTATTTTTTTCTTAGTCGTTATAGTCTTGACAAACTGGTCACGGTCGTCATTTAGGTGTTGTGACCCGCTTCACAATTAGCCTCCACTCCCCTCTAGCAGTTGCCATTTATATTTACTGAATGTTTGTACATTTAGTCGTCATAGTTCCATTCTTCATAATAAACCTGTATAGTTTAATTGTAAATAGGTAGTATAATCTCATTACAAGCAGCAACGACTGATTACGCCGCTATCTAGTCACTTCCTGTTAGTGTTAGAACCACGATTTACATACATTTATGAACGCATATTTAGGTTGGTTTATTTTAGTTTATTGATTCTTGTTTTTCTAGCATTACACGTTCAAGACATAATATGGTCCAACTCTCTGGACATTTCAAACTTTATTTTACTTTAAAAATTGTATTTCATGTAACTTATTACCGCAATATAGGTTTTCATCATTTCTAAACAAAGAACGCAAGTTACTATATATGACGACACAATATGTAATTAAAACTTATATTACTGTACTAACAGTCAAAGTAAATAAGCGTATATTTATATTATTCTAGCAGAACCCGCGGCTTCGCTCGCGCTAAAACTCATCCCCTATTTTGCCCCCTTATGAGATGAATTTCGAAAAATGGTAAAAGAGAAGAGCATTAATACCAAGTTTCAAGTAATTTTAATCATAATATTTTTTTTGGGTTCTATTATAATGTTTTTACCGCAAGAATGAGATAATCTCTCGCGGTAAAATGTAGCCTAAGTCACTCTCCAGCCCTTCAAATATCTCCACACAAAAATCACGTCAACCTGTCAATCTATTTCGACGTGAAAGAAGGACAAACGAACAAATAAACACTACATATTTATAATATTAGTAAGTATGGATTTAATTATATTACCTTAGAAACCTTTAAAAGTTTTCTTATTGCTTTTATAGCGAAGGTCTTTAATATCTGTTAGTAAATACTATGTTCAATTTTAAATAAATATTAGAGAAACAATTTAGTGTTGAAGCAGGTTAAGGCTGTAAGTACAGAGAGAGCTGCTAATGATCACGCCCCCTTGTCGGTATTTTACATCAGATTATTTAAGTAGGTTAAAAGTGAATTTATCACTAGGATGTAGAAAGCAAATTTTGTAGAACATTTAAATATATAATTAACTAGCATTGCCCGCGGGTCCGCCCGCGTTCAGATGACCAAAAACTAAATTCTTAGGTTTTATATATTAGTATACTCTTACCTTGCAGTTTTTTCGAAACCGCAATAGCATATGTCTATCTCCTAAGATAATCGTAATACCTATTTTTATTATATATAAAACTCAGTGTCGCGCGTTGACGAAGGAATATAGTATTATCACACATAACATATTACTATACTAGTACGTATTATGCAGTCGGAGACATACACGCAGCTATTAAACATGTACATACACTGCATAGTACTATATTCCTTCGTCAACTTTTTTTTACCTTTTTAGTTCGCTTTTTAGATCCTTATTATAAAACGTCTTGGATTTGATTGACGTACTAGTAATTGTTTTGAAATATTTTTTTTACTTAATCCGCCATTCACGTACCGTCTCATCCAGAACATTGGTCCACAAACGGCCGCCCTACGACTAATCCGTATGTGTTTGACAGTAAAAATCTTAGTCTCCTTACCAGGTTGAAATAAAACTGGGTGTGCCTAGTGCATCGGCAATGCTGAAAGAACAAAATCAGCACGCTTCTAAGTCGTGTCGAGTCGCGTGTGCACTGAATGCCGCGCTTTATTCTTACTATTGACGTCAATCTCAAAGGAATTTGATTATAAACTATAATATAAACTGAATTTTAAATATGTTTAATAATAACACCAATTAAAAGGGAAATAATTAAGCTTTTCATACATATTACTTAATTAGCTTATAATATAAAAATAATGATAATTAATTCGAAAACGCTAACAAGTTGATTTTAATAATAGCTCTCGTTTAACGCATATGATTTTTTCTTAGAGGTTCGACTATTTTTGTTCTTGTTGTCATAAAAATATTCCAGATGTACACGTAATGGTTTAAAAAATTAATTCAAATTGCTTTTTTAAGTTTAACATCAGTTCATTTAACAGGTTTTTTTAATACTTTGCTCTAAAATTTAAAACTGGCTACAAAGGCATTTTGCAAAGAGATTGTAATACTAATTTTTACGTTTTACCTATGCACATATAGTTTTTACAACAAATAGTTTTTCTTGGTTTTTGTTGTTTTCTTTCGCCAATCATCCATACATATAATAAAATTGTAACTAAGCCGAATCTGTACATTAAATATTTTTTTGGAAAATCTTATTGAAATAGACATTATTATCGATACAGAGGCCGAATCTATAATTTTTAGAATTTTTGTCTACCTGGTCTGTCTGCCTGTGACCGCATCACGAAAAACCCATTGGACAGATTTGGATAAAATTTGATATAATGATAGCTTGTTATCCGGGTCAACGTATAGAATTTACTGCAGGAAAATATCTCATCTCTGAGCTATACCGTAAAACGTAACTATGGACGAACCCGAGCGGAGCGAGGGTGAGTCGCTGGTACAGCATAAATGCTTTTCTTTTGTACAAATATTTCATTACATATTATTTCTTCTATATTTTTAGTGGGATATTTTTGAAGTTATACTTCTATTGGCACGTTCGGAAAAAATATGAAAGTAAAATTTTTACGATGTGCGCGCACACCGACAGCCAAACAGCGACATGATGAAGTTAGCTGATAACTGTTTTTCCCGGTTCCCGTAAAAACTCATAACTATATTCAAAGTATTTTGTTTCTCAAAAAATATTCATAAATCTATAACACGTGTTTTATATCAGTGGAGATAAAAATATGTATTTATTTTTATTAATTTATCATGACTTTTATAAAAAGATAATTGTGACATACGGGACGAAATCTTCAGGTATTTTTGTTCTGTTACGCCAAAGAAGTATAACTTCTTACGCACGTAAGTACCTACACACACATGTTTTTTTTGTTTTAGAGGATAAGTAATGTGTACGTAAACGTTTCTACTTTGTCTAGTTTTTACGCTTTTTACGTTATGATCATAAATCATGATTCAACTAAGCGTAATTATAATAACTACTATAATTATAGTAAGCCCGAGAACAAGTGATATTAATTACTTCAATTTCTTAGTGCATATGGAAAATCAAAATAAAATATTTTACAAATAATCGATCTTAGGATGCCGGTTTTTTTCAAATTTATACGGAGTCATCTTGAGTAATTCTTTGAAAAAAAAAACTATGTAACATAATATCCCAACATATATACACACGAATTGGTTACCTTCTGTATTTTGATGTCATTCAAACACGAAGACATTCGACACAGATTTTTACACTACTTTTCTTTTAGGGTTATGTTTCAATGAAAATAATAAGTTACATCATCCTAAATTTTTTTTAAAAGTCCGTCTGTTTATACAATAAAACATCAC